TGAGTTATACAAAATTCCCAAAATGGTAATTCATGTAATATAAATTCACGTGAGTCAACTCAAGTCAACTCGAGTTGAAATGAATCAAGTCAATTTATTGACTCGACTCAACTAATGACTCGATTCGAGTCAAATGAATTGGAAAATTTTTGACTCGACTCGAGTCAACTCATTTGACTCATGAGTCAACTCGACTCATTAGGAGGAGCTCTATTCATGTATGAATTATTATGAAAACTGAAATCTGAGTGAAAATATTTTGTCAACATATTTGATAGAAAGTTTTCATAGCGAGTATTGTTAAATAAAATAACTTTTGACCTAATGATTACATTTCGATGAAAATATGATCATTAGAACCGTCTCATCGAGAGCTTTTCAACGAATATAAAAGCAAGATTATTGGATCAATAGGAGCGGAGATAATTCAAAAAGAGTGATTGCTATTATAATTCTGCAGATCACTACTAAAGAAAGCCGTAATTTCTTAAGCCGCAGCCCGACGATCAAAACGACCGAAACCTCGGAAACGATGATAACGTCGTTAACTAAGTTTATATAGTTGTTTAAGTTTACTTAGTTTCTTATGTTTATTTAGTTAAATTAGTTAATGAAGTTAACTAAGTTAATGAAGTTTACAATGTTTCTTTAGTTTTAATAGTTTTACTTTATCTTAAATTAGTAATAAAAGTAGATCAAATATTTTATATAAATAGGATAGGAAATTGTTGTAGTTAGAGGTAAGTTAGATTTGAGACAGAAATAGGCAGTTATAGTTATAGTCAGTTAGATTTGAGTTTAGAAAAGTTAATTAGTTAATTAGAGAATTTATTGTGAAATTCATAAATTGATAAGTTCATCAACAAGAGCTTATTTAGTTTATTGAATCGTGTTATCCACTTATATTTTATAAATAAACCATACATTATTCCTATAACATTGATCTGTTAAACTCGTGATCTAAAATCCAATCCATCATTATTGCTCTCCCATCGTATTTGAAATATTTATACATATTCCCAATTTATATTTATATATACTCAACATTCCCTGTACTTATAAATTGATATATTGTTAATTCAATAGTTTTATTAACGCGAACAAGTTCTTAAAGTTATTAAATTAAATCATTATTCTTCAGATACTTAAAACCTTGCTATATGTATTGAAGTCTATTTTTCAGTTGGTAGACTTCATAATCGACTCATATAACAGTAACAAACAAACTGCTTTGTATCAAAACTTACTTTGTGTCAACCTTGGTTAAGTAATATTGGATTATTTAACGTTATTGCTTTGTGTTAAACCTGTTTTATGTCAACCTTGATTAAATAATATTAGATTACTTAACGTTATCAACTCACTTTGTAAAAACTTTGGTTAAGTAATTATATATTACTTAACGTTATCAACCTGCTTAGTGTTATCTAGGTTTAAGTAATCTCTAAATTACTTAAAACGTTATCAACTTGGTTACAAATAATACTTTGTAACGTCAACCGAGAATTTCCTACATCATCAAGAAAATTATTTGTCTTACGTAGTGAATTAGAAGTCGTCATACTTGCCAATTCTGAAACTTGTTTGTGAAAGAATACCGAAGTCAAAAATAGCCTGAAATAACCAAAGTCTCTTCTAAAACTTAATAAAGATTAAGCTAAATCTTGCTGCTACTCAATTGATTATGTGTTTCAGTCCGCCTAATCATTAGTTAGATAATAATGTCTTACTGATTTAACTTTATGAAAAATCTGTCTGAAGTAAAAAATAATTAATAAAAATTAAAAAATATCTCTAAAGGAACCTTTATAAAAACTGAAGACTTATTTAATTTATCTAAGAAATGAAGAATTTATTTCTAAAAAAAAAAAATAGTATTATTAGTAAAGAATCTATCTTATCAAAAAATATCATAAAACTTATTAAAAAAAAGAAGGCTTACCAATTTAATCATATTAAAATCTATCTTAAAAAAAGAATAATAAAAATAAAGAAACTATTATATAAAAAAAATGCTAAAGAGTCCAAAGATTTATTTAATTTATCTAAAAAATGAAGAATCTATTCCTAAAAGTAAAATTAAGAAATCTACTTTTTAAAAATCCCAAAGAATTTATTAAAAAAAAAGTCTTATCTATTCAAAAAAACAAAAGATCTATTTTTAAAAAAGAAGAAAGATGCTTATTTTTCTAAAGAAAAAGTTTTTAAAATTTAAAAAAAAAATAATAAAATTTTTATTTTTAATATTAATAATTAATCAAAAATGAATATTAAAATATTAAAATTAAAAAAATATATATTTTGATAATCAAAATTAAATTTTAATAATTTTGATATTTAAAATTTAAAACAATTTTGATATTTGAAATAATTTTTAATATTTGAAATTAACTTTGATATTTGAAATTAACTTTGATATTTGAAGTTAATTTCAATATTTGAAATGATTTTTGATATTTAAAATTAATTTCAATATTTAAAAGCATTTTAAATATTTGAAAAAATTTTAATATTTGTTTAAATATTTTTTAAAAAATTTTTAAATATTTAAAATTTAATTTGAATTTCAAATAGAAACTTTCTTTTTTTTCTTTTTTATTATCTATTAATATCAATAAACTCTTTTCTATTTTATCTTATACATCTTTGTGAATTTCAGATATATTATCTTTGTAAGTCTTTATAAAATTCAGATCTTTATAACATATAATTCTTATAGCTTATGTAATATTACAAACCTTCATAAATCTTTGAATAACTTGCAAATTTTGTGAAATATCATCTTTGTGATTATAGTGAACTCTTAATATAACGAATTCTAGGATCTGGATATCAACTTTGTTATAAGCTTATAATGAATTTTTTAAAGAATTTAATTGGCTAGTTTACTATAGTAAGGTAATTTTAATATATTTGATTTAAAAATTCGCTATATCAAGGCTTCACTATATTAAGGTTTGACTGTATATAAAATCTTAAGTAATATAAGTAATAACTTTAAAACTAGAAATTAATAATAAATTACTATGCTAATTAAAAGAAACAACACTTAAATATCTCATTTAATTATAGCAATCTACCAAAATTGCATATTAACAATCATAGTTTTTTTATATTAAAAACTAGAATCTTTAATTACTAAAATCCATATAATGTTATACTTAATATAATAAATACCATTGGATATAAACAAACTGTTAATTATATAACTAATGATATTTATTAAAACTATTTTTACTAGTTTATTAATTTCAGATTTTTAATTTTACTAAATTTTACTAATTTTATTACAAGTTTCATTATATAATTTGATTTTTCAAAAATTAGTTTTTATCAAGTTTCAGCATTTCAGATAGTAACATTAGTATAAATAATATAATCTGTAATATGTTATTGATAAATAAAAAAATTTTTTAATAAGTTTAGCTATTAATTTTATTAATAGACAATGATTTAATTCAAATGAATCTCAAAAATTATTTTAAAAAAACTAATCTTCTAAGTCATTTATAATTGCAACTAAAAAATAACTTAATAGAACAAAAAATATATAATAGAACTATTGATATTATATTAGTTATTAGTTTAAAACTTTTATAAGTAAGAATTGCTTTAGTGTAATAGGTAGGATTGTTGATATTAAAATTAAAAAAATAACGATACATTTCTAATAGATAAAAAACTATCAAGTAAATGTTAATTTCCCTTGCAAAATACCTTTTTTTTGCAGAATATAATAATTTTACCTGAAGTATTTTTGTGTTTTAATCATCAAATTTTTACTGCTTGTTAAGTTTATATTGCATTAACCTGATGCTTTGATTGCTCAAAGTGAATATTGCTTTTATTACAGATAAATTAATGCTTTAAAAAAATGATTGATTAGAACAAAAATCAGATATTTCTTTACTTTTGTGAATATCTTATTCTTATGTTAGAAAAATAAATATTTAATAAATATTTTTTTTTTTTTAAATTTTTACTGAAAAACTCTCATATTTCAAAATTTACTTTACCCGTATTGGCTACTTTATCATTCCAATTACTTGAATTTGACAATTGGAAATATAAATTTTATATATCCAATTCAAAATGTGATGCAGTTTTATTAAGTCCAATTGGTCAAATTGGCAAAATTGGCAACACAGTACTTTAAGATACAACAAAAATTGATGTACTGCGAATACGAATAATATTTAATTATATTAACATAAAATATTTAATCCAATGCTAAGTGGGGCCCGCATGTCGCAACATCTAGTTATCTAGTATTATAAGATTGGTAATAATCAAAAAGAAATATAATCATTGATCAATAAACCTTGATTGATAAAATTAACTCGTGTTTATTAATAAAGTTCATTTCAGATATAAAAAATGCAAAATATGGTCATTGATGTCATGACACGAAACAGCACACAAAAGGCTGATCAAACTTCGCCCGAGTAAATATTATTAGTTTTGTATTTATCGATGAGATATTATCCAATATATACAATAAAAGGATTAATATTTTAATAATTAACATGTCTTTCTGAGTTTTGAAATTTGAAAACGCTTACCATAATCAAAATTATATCGATTTGACTCCATCAAGATCGTATCTATTAACAAATTTGTTTAGGTAAAGGATATATTATTAATAATATTATTATTTTTTGATGTCATATGTTACTGATATGGAAGCGTTGCATAAGATTTACTATATCTCATGACTTGAAAGAGGAGGTGACATAAAAATAGAGAAATGAACTCGCGGCTCAACCGATTTTTGACAATGGCTCGTTTTCATTAAGTCTTTTTTTGGAAAGGAGTCGAGTTTTTTTTTTACCATAAGCAGATGAGAAGCTTAATATCTTGGATACGTATTAAATACGTAAGAAACTGTAGCGTATAAAATTATTATCAGTCTACTGACGAACCTGTTTATTTTCCACTTCTACCGAGTTAATATTTGCAAAATAATTTGTATTTCTCTTCCGTAGACTTCATTTCAAACTCTATTTATTTAAATCTCCTTGACAACAAGCCTTTTCTAATTTTAAACTTCTAATATAACTAAAAATTTAACGAAATAAAAAAAAATATTAGCAAATAAAACCTTTGAATGAAATCAGCGTATTTAGTTACTATGGCATATATACCCGCCACTTACTAGACTTCTTCAAATACTTTAACGGGGTCTGCTACCAGAGTTTTTTGAATCATTTCTCAGAATTGATTTACATTCGATCGTTTGAAAAAGGTATGTATTTAATATACCTGAAAGAAATATGAAATACCATTTTAAGAACACGTCGTTTGAGAGCACAACTGGGAAATTGGACGAACAAGAGAATTAGAATGGAGGGTAAATGGGG